CGAGGCAGGTGATGGTCGGGTAAAGTGACAAACGTGAAAGGGTATTGACTGGACTGGGCGGGCACTTCGGGACCAGGGCCTCAACGGAGTTCCGAGGAGCGCAGGCGCGTCAGGATGCCGTGACCCCGGGCACGTGCAATTGGCGCGACCTGGACGCGTCGCAGCTACTACTCGGTCGTCCGCATCAGCTCAGGCCGTGGTACGCATCTTCCTCTAGACAATTGATAGGGTTACAGGAATGGGAGAGGTATGATGAAGGGAGCCATGGTATAGAAAACGACGGAGTGATGAAGTAAGTTTGAAATCACGAAAACAATGGAACCCACACCGAAATCCTACATATTGAGTCTTCATTGGCAGGGAAGAGGACCACGCGAAGATTTCGATATTCGTGTGCTTTGCTCAGACGTTCTTTATCAAACAAAGATTCAAAAAGGGTTTCAGTAAATGCACCCGAAAGGGCGGCTTTCAGGGTTACAAAAATATGAGATCGTCCAGGCGATATAAAAGTAAAGTAAAAGAAAAATAACTCTACATTCACGAGTCTATGAATAGGGCCGTCAGCCCTACCACACCGACTATCCCAATTCCGAGTCGTTTAGTGAAGGCTGACGTGCCCTACCATCCCAGATTCTATGGAGCATTACCAGGCGGTGCAGTTTCAGAATGAGATGTCGCGGCCCTTGGGGCCCGAGTATGAATGAATTCGAACTTCGAAGATCTGTGTCTGCCACCAGACATGAAAGTGGAGGCAGCCAGAGCGTGATGCGTATGACACGTCGACACCCAGCCAGCTGCGTGCTGCAGCTAGCTCATGGAATGCAGGATCGAATAGACACAGAAGTATTGAGAAATGACGAGTGTCTGTTGAAGACCCTGAGTGCAGTTGTCTATATGCCAAAAAAAAAATTGCACACAAATGTGACTGCTCTAGCAGCAACTTGTTTCGATCAAGTGACCACGGAGTAAAGTATTTGGAGCCACGGCGATACATGTGGGCCCCGCGCGCTTCCAACTGCGCCATGCTGCTCGGTGCTACTGTTTAACCAAAAGTGGTCTATATAGATGGGCTGGGAGATATGCGAGGCTCGCGGCTCGGAGCACTGAGAAAGGATTGAAAGGCATTCTCGAGAAAATTGGAGGCCAAAAGTCAAGACAGGCTTAGTAGTTGTCAGAGAGCGACGTCACGGCGCGGAGGTTGTGTTGCCCTGCGCCGCAGACTGTGCGTAAGTGTGGAGATGATTGCGCACCGACGTAGAGGAAAAAATATACAGACCCTAACACCGGTGATGATAGCACACTTGCCGCTGACAGAACACACAAGAGCCATCAACAACATTGAACGTAAGTTACGGTTTGAAATAAACCGGGGATGACATCGAGAAAGACGGAGCAGGTGTTTGAACTTCAATGATCTGTGTTTGTCGCCCGATAGGTTGACCGAGACTGTGGTCACTGGTGCACATTTTTTTTTTTTTTTTTAACCAGTTTATATAGCGCATTTAAGTACACGTGGACTACGGGCGCTGTAGGTAAGGGTATGTATTTGGTGCCTTTGTGAGGCTGGTGGAAAGTATATGTATTGTGGTAAGGGGGGAGGAGAGGTGGGCTTAGGACCTGTCCCTGTTATAAAACCGTGCCGAAGCACGTCAATAAATAAGGAGAGGAAAAAGAAAAGGAGAAACTGAAAAAGAAATAGTTAGTATACAACCGTAGGAGTCCCTAAAAAGCGCCCTATATGCAGCGGCGGGGGTCACAAGAAAGGCGACTGGGTACGGTGGTGGCTGGGCCTTCGGTCTTGATGCCGCTGTTCAGCCGGAGAGGGTTACGCGGCCTAAATAGTT